TATCTTTTAACCAGTTACCAATCCATGAGAGAACCTTCCCTCTTATCCCATGACTCCTTATTTTGCTTAAGAGCCTTTGGTGAGGGACCTTGTCAAAGGCTTTCTGAAAATCTAAATACAAATAGCCACTGGATCTCCTTTGTCCACATGCTTGTTGACCCCCTCAAAGAATTCTAATAGATTGGTGAGGCATGATTTCCCTTTACAAAAACCATGTTGACTATTTCCCAACAAATTATGTTCCTCTATATGTCTGACAATTTTGTTCTTTACGAAAGTTTCAACCAATTTGCCTGATACTGAAGTGAGGTTTACTGGCCTGTAGTTGCCAGGGTCACCTCCGGAGCCCTTTTTAAAAACTGGTGTCACATTAGCTATCCTCCAGTCATTTGGTACAGAAGCTGATTTAAATGATAGATTACAGATGACCGTTAGTAGTCCTGCAATTTCACATTTTAGTTCCTTCAGAACTCTTGGGTGAATACCAGCAGGTCCTGGTGACTTATTACTATTTAGTTTATCAATTTGTTCGAAAACCTCCTCTAATGACACCTCAATTTGGGACAGTTCCTCAGATCGCAGAGTGGTAGCCGTGTTAGTCTGTATCAGCAAAAAGAACGAGGAGTACTTGTGGCACCTTAGAGACTAACAAATTCATTTGGGCATAAGCTTTCGTGGGCTAAAACCCACTTCATCGGATGCATGCAGTGGAAAATACAGTAGGAAGAGATATATACACAGAGGACATGAAAAAATTGGTGTTGCCATACTAACTATAATGAGAGTAATCAGTTAAGGTGAGCTATTATCAGCAGGAGAAAAAAACTTTTGTAGTGATAATCAGGATGGCCCATTTCCAACAGTTGCCAAGAAGGTGTGAGTAACAGTGGGGGGGGGGGGAAATTAGCTATTTCCCCATCTGTCACCCATAAAGAATGACTCAGGTTTGGGAATCTCCCTCACATCCTCAACAGTGAAGACCAATGCAAAGAATTCATTTAGTTTCTCCGCAATGGCCTTATCGTCTTTGAGTGCTCCTTTAGCATCTTGATCGTCCAGTGACCCCACTGGTTGTTTAGCAGGCTTTCTGCTTCTGATGTATTTAAAAAAAATGTTTGCTATTACTTTTGGAGTCTTTGGCTAGCTGTTCTTCAAATTCTTTTTTGGTCTTTCTAATTATATTTTTACACTTCATTTGCCAGAGTTTATGCTCTTTTCTATTTATCTCATTAGGATTTATCTTCCACTTTTTAAAGGTTGCCTTTTTGCTTCTTTTACTTTGTTGTTTAACCACGGTGGCTCTTTTTTGGTTCTCTTACTATGTTTTTTAATTTGGGGTATACATGTAAGTTGAGCCTCTATTATGGTGTCTTTAAAAAGTTTCCATGCAGCTTGCAGGGATTTTACTTTTGGTGCTGCACATTTTAATTTCTGTTTCACTAACCTCCTCATTTTTGTGTAGTTCCCCTTTCTGAAATTAAATGCTACAGTGTTGGGCCGCTGTGGAGTTTTCCCCACCACAGTGATGTTAAATTTAATTATATTATGGTCACTATTACCAAGCGGTTCAGCTATATTCACCTCTTGGACCTGATCCTGTGCTCCACTTAGGACTAAATCAAGAATTGCGTCTCCTCTTGTGGGTTCCAAGACTAGCTGCTCCAAGAAGCAGTCATTTAAGGTGTCAAGAAACTTTATCTCTGCATCCCTTCCTGAGGTGATATATACCCAGTCAATATGGGGATAGTTGAAATCCCGCATTATTATTATTGAGTTTTTTATTTTAATAGCCTCTCTAATCTTCGTGAGCATTTCACAATCACTATCACCGTCCTGGTCAGGTGGTCTGTAATATATCCCTACTGCTATATTCTTATTTTTCAAGCATGGAATTACTATCCATAGAGATTCTATTTAGTTCATTTAAGATTTTTACTTCATTTGATTCTACGCTTTATTTCACATATAGTGCTACTCCCCCACCAGCACGACCTGTTCTGTCCTTCCGATATATTTTGTACCCTGGTATTACTGTGTCCCATTGATTATCCTCATTCCACCAGGTTTATGTGATGCCTATTATATCAATATCCTCATTTAATACTAGGCACTGTAGTTCACCCATCTTATTATTTAGACTTCTAGCATTGGTAATATGAGCATTTTAAAAACTTGTCCTTTTTTGGCTGTCCCCTATTGCATGCCGTAATTGAACGGGACTTTTTTTCATTTGACTGTTTCTCCCTGTATTTTATCATTTTCCATCCTCTCCTCCTTTTATAGATCCTCCCCAAGAAGCTGAAGTCAGTGACTCAAATAAATTATGTCCTACGCTGAGTCTAGATTAGAACACAGATCGAATTGCTCTTCGTTCTAGTCTTTTTCTGTATCCTTGCACCACACGGCATTATAAGCACATAATATATGTCTAAACTTTATATAAATGGGATGGAAAATGCTTCATAAAAATGGGCATTTTGTGTATATAACCAGCACAAAACACAGCAAGTGTGAGAACAGATCATCCTCACACACCAGATGTTAATTGTTACAATTGCTCTCAGAACCAGCTTTCTTCATCTGAAATGGTAGAAGCAGAAAGTCTATCAAAGGAACAGAAATATGAATTTATAAAACTAACAGTGTGTTATGGATCAGAGTACATGGCTGTGAAACAGGTTAAGTATACTTTACTTTCCAGAATTAATGAGAGCTCTAAATGAGGGGAAAGAGTTTGGAATTTTCCCAAATGCACAAGAGTGCATCCCTGTAAGTGTTTATACTGAAACACGTTATAAATATATTTGAGTTTACTACTGCTGTAGGGCTAGATGATAGGTGACTGCGACCAAAAGTCTGATCCTGCTCCCACTGGAGTCAAAATGACAAATTTTCAATAGGGCAGGATCAAGCCCCAACTGTGCAAGTGTAAAGAGTGAGTGCAAAGCACCTTCCCTTCCTTAAACTCTGCATCATTTACCACCCATACTGTGGCTGAAGTAGTGCCACTGCTTCCCCTTAGTGCAGGTGCAAGTTTCTCCAAAGGCTGCAAGGGAGATGTTCTGAGGGGAGGGCCATAGCCATGCCTCCTTCCCTCACCAGCTGGCAACGCTAGTTGATCACACAGGAGAATGCAGTCTGCTCCTAGTTACAGGGTTGCAGTGTTACTACTGCAGCATGTACTCTGCAGGAGCTCTAAGTGGGATTCTGGCAGAGCCAATCACAATTCATTCTGGGGCTCCTGTTACAGGCCCTGATTCAGGAGCAGTCAGTGGGATGTAAGCACATGCATAAGTGCTGTTCTCAACTGAGACTTAAGCATGTGCAGAAGGTCTCACCAGAAATGGGACCATAGTGTAGACCCTCTGTGCCCCCCTTCTCACAAATTCCACTATGTAGATGCAAATGCAGCTGGGATGGAAGGGGGGCTCTTTGCTCGTGTGTCAGAAGCAGCGTTATTATTTGTAATGTAAGTAGAATGAGCCAGCTCTGTGCTTGCAGCAATGGCCTCTGCTGCATTCATGAACTGGCTTCTTTCTAAATATATTGTCTGGTACTTTTATTTTTTATTATTCATTTCTTTTAATCTCAGTCTATTTTTATAGCAACATCTGAGAACTTTCCAAATAACATTTCTCTCTTTCTACTAGATTTGGCTTCTTCTATTCACAAATGTGTTTTTTCCCCCTTCCCTGAGTTTATTTCTCCTCTAGCACAAGCCAACATGTCTATCACCATCATCAGTCAGTACTTGGAGCAGGATGTGTGCTCCATCTATTAGCAGGCTGTCTGCCTGGCCCTGCACTAGCACAGCAAAAACATTCTAGGGCTATGGATAATAAAGCATGGCTGTTGGTCGTTAAAGTATCTCAGCTGGGGCCCAATTCTTCCAGGACGCACAGTGCCTCCAGCAAAGTGCTGAGCATTTTCAGCTCCCACTGGACCCAATCCTTATAGATGAGGAATTCATCCAGGGAGATCAAGGTGCTCACTACCTTGCAGGAAGAGCTCAGGCCCAGAGCCTTAAGGTATTTTCATATTCTGAAGTGTTCTAATTTTGCTCTATATTCTATTACATTTTGACACCTTGTGGTCAAAATATAGGCCTGATCCTGAAAACCATTGATTTTCCATGGGAGGAGAGTGGAACTACACAGATAGGTAAGGCTTAGCAGGGACTAGGCCCCATTTTCCCAGTAATTTATTTTCTAGACAGGAATTTGTATTAGCTGTGATCTTCACTGAGTGGATGCTAAGTAAACCAAGAGTCCTTGGCCCTGTCTCTGTTAGTACATTCATGTAACAGGCGAATTCCTGCTGAGGGTGAAGGACAGATTAAGAAACAATTAAAAAGGGAAATAATATTTTGTTATAAATACTTCTCACTTTTTTTTTCAATTTTACCTGAAAAAATGGTATTTGAAACAATTCAATTAACACTAACAGTTTCCACATACAGAGCACTTTAGAAACATGAACAAATTAATTAGAGCCTGAATCATCGTCTTATTGAAGTCAATAGCAGGATTCTCATAGACTTCAGAAAGAGCATGAATGATGCCCTAATTAATTAGATAAAGCTCATCTGAGCAGGAGTTAGAGCTTTCTTGGGGACTGGTCCAAGGCTGTGGAACAAACTCCTGCAAGAACCTCACCATCTCCTGTTCCAAGTGTAAGGCACACTTCTTTGACTACGCCACCTCTTATGCAAACACAGAGCAGCATATACATATACAAAACACCCCAAGATACCAACCCATTACACTTCACTGCACAAACACTTTTTTCCCCTTAGGGAGAGGTTGACAGAAACAAGGAACCACACTTGAAAGATGTTAGTCACATTGCGTAATGTGCTTCTGCAAAGTTGATTAGATACTATGGTGACGGGAGTGGCATAAGAAGCTATGTAGAATAGACTAGAACAGGAACAGGTTCTTACTCATCAGATCACTCTGCTCAGGTAGGTAAGAAGGATTATCCACACTTGACAGACTTGGAAGATGAGGCAGAGAGGTTAAAAGACTTGCCCAAGATGACAACATCAGTGCTGAGATTAGCATTTAGTAGTTCCTGTCTCAGTTTGTTCATCCACTTTTGCCTGCTATAAGCTCTAAAGGTGAAGGAGTAATAACCAACACTATTATATGAATTTAAAAATATTAGCATGACTTACCGCAAGAATCTGACTAAATAATAGAGCATAGAGTGGATTGACTGCCCCGTTCATAGCTGCGCCAACAGATCCAAACAACATATAAGGCCACTCTGGAGCATTGTATTTCAAAATCCTGGTGACTGGTGCAGGCTCCACTTCCTCTTCTTCCTCCTCAAATGTCTGCTAACAAAATATATTTGGTTTATGAAGCACAAACATTCCCTCAATGACACCCATAAGGGGTTCATCTCCCCACATCAGGGTACTTTTAGTAAGCTCCACTCTTACAGCCCATGATCCTGTTCAGACCTGTGCACTGCACATCTGCAGAGAATTTCCAGGCGCTATAGCTTCAGCATGCTACTTCACCATGGTCAGATTTTTTTTAAAAATTGTGTTTTTATTAGCGTGGCATCATAGTCTTGTTGCTTCTCAGCAGGCTGACAATCAACAACCCCACACCATATACAGAGTGTATTTCCCGGAAAATATTTGAGTGGCTGGTGCTGGAATGAAGCCTAGCCCCTGCACCCACCTATCACTAAGCCTCCACTCCCAGCCCCAGCCTGCACAGTCCCCATAGCCTGTGGAAACCCTGACCCTATGGAGAGTCTTCTGTTAGGGCCCAGAAGGGGAAGGGACAGTGCCACAGAGGCAGCTCACCCCCTACTACTGTATGGAAATTAGTAAGAGCCACACACAGGGGCTCCCATGGCTCTTGGGAGCATAATTTTACTCTCTGTATTCAGATCACCAGACAACTGTGTCTCTCTTAGCTACAATCTGGACTATGAGCAAACATGACCGAGCCAGGAAGGCCTAGGCAATGGTGGTCCTAGGTTTTCTTAGTTCTGAAAGGAGAGCCAAGAGGGAGGTATAGAAAAACCGTGTGCTCGCAGCTGAGCCATCCACTCATAGATCTGGCTTGAAACTTCCACCTGGTTTCATAGGATTCAGTGCTCAAGGGAGGCCTAGACTCTTAAGAGAAATATCATGATGTAAAGGTTGAAAAGCAAGCTGAAATTCTTTTGGGAAGTATTAAAATGAACACAGACACAGACACGTCATTTCTATGGTATACATTTGCTTTCAAGCTGGTATTTTAAAGGCTTTATAGAAATCTCTCTCTGCCACTCACTGGTAGTAAAATCCTTACTCAATAGTAAAATGTTAGCATGTCTCTTAATTTTTATAATTGCCACACTTAGGGCTTCAGTGGCCATGAGAAAAAGTGCAGGGAGGGAGCCACTTTCTTTCCATTGTCCTTGCACAGGAAACAACCATAATAAGAGTGCCTTATGCTCCCTGGTGGGGCCTGCTGTCACAGGTGGGCCTCAGAACACAATCCCTCCAACATGTCGGGAGACAATGGGACATGGATCCCTGGGGTAACTTCCCTGACTCCAGTGGAGTTACATCGGAGTCAAGAAGATCTTTAAGCTTGCTGCTTCCCTATGCTGCCATTATGCTTCCAACCACTGCAGTTCAGGCAGCTCACCTTCTCCTCCCTCCAGAACCCTAAGGCTGCAAGAGCCATTACAGAGCCCTCAAATTATTTCCTCACAGGGTGTCTTATTGTATTGTTCATTGCAAATTCTTAAGTAGTATTTCAAAACACTGTGGCTGTAGGCATTGAGTAGACACTGTGTGGGGGATGAATAGGCATCCATTACAATTAGAACAAAAAGGAGGTCTCCGAGTTATACACTAATTATACCTCACGTTATGTGAATTATCCTCACACCAGGTGCAAGAATGCTCATAATTACTCCTAGTAAGTGCAGAAGATTCATCATCAAATTATTCCTTGCCTTATTCTTTGATTTAGGAGAGAATGGCTATTACAACAGTTACTGTGCTGAGCCCTGCTCATTTATTTCAGCTCAGTTTACTGGAAATGTACATCTTTTTACCAGAAATATAAGGGAGGAGGGGTAAAAGAATGTTCTGTTTTTTCCTTTTTCCTTTGAGGTTGGTGAAAGCCAAAGATGCCAGAGCCACAGCCCTGATGGCTGGAGTCCTCTGTTTACCCTGGCACGGTGCTGGCAGCAACAGTGCCACTTCCCACACTGCCCTATACAGAGCTGATGAAGTGCTAGGAATTGATGCTGGCAGCTTCAGGGCAGTTTGTAAATAGCCACTGTGCATATTCCTGAATAGTTAGTTCTGAACTGACCATTTAAAGGCATCCTGCCCCGATCCTCCATGCAGCTGAACCACACCAGGAGACTGATCCAAAGCCCAGTGAAGTCACCAAGACTTTCCCATTTACTTCAGTGGCCTCAGAATGAAGCCCCAATTACACTATCTAAGGACTACCACATGTCCACAGAGGCTATGGGGGACTTGCTCCATAATGAACAAGCAGTGCAATTTCTACCTCTGAGCAACTATTATACTCCACAAAATGAGCATTTCCCCTCATGTAACCTGTACCTGCTTTTATATGTTCACTTCAACCTCACCTACACCCATATCGCCAGACTTACTCTGTGCTAGGCTTTGCATGAGGATATATACGTATTAGGTGCCATCCAATGCAGCACTTAGCTCAGAGAGCATAGAGGCCGGGAGTAATGTCTTTGTTTAAATATAAAAAAGGACACATGCAAGATGATATATCTACCAACAACCACCTATAACAGAAATACTTAACTGTATATTATTATCGGGGCCAAAAGATGTGAAAACATGCTTTATCTATCGGCAATCTAATAATGAATGATGATGTCTGACCTTTTGTGTAGATGTGCCTTCTTCATATTGATGTATTCGATACACAGTGTCTGACTGGTCTCCAGTGATTGATAATGGATGGCTGGGTACTATATTAGAGAGCTGAGACCTGGAACGCTGTCGAACTGAAGCTCTGTGAAACAGAAGGGTGAGAAGGTCTGTTCCTCAGGGGCTGAATGACACAATATGTGTTTTGAAGACTGGGTCAGTTTTTATCCCGACTTATATCAGAACCTGAAATCAGAGCTTGTTGAAGCAAAGCTGAGGACTCCTGCAAACTCTGTGGCTACAAAGGCCTAAGATTGCCTTTCATGCTGCCATCTTCCTCAATCTCCTAAACTGTGGGAAGGAGGAATTCCATAACAGACAGAGATACTTCTATTCAGGTTCATATACCGCACCTTGTTCTCTTATATCTGAAAACGCAGCTTGTATTTGTGGGGAAATTAGGGAAATAGTGGTTGGGTTTTCCTGTTAAACTTGCAATATGTTTGCCTAGGCCACAGAAAAGTGGGGGTATCCTGCTCCCTCACGATACTCTAGTCAGTTTCACCACAGGGGCCTCAGTCATTACATAGTAGCTGTACTCCACAGGCACAGTACTGGAGCATGAGCACTCAACAGCATACTGTAATTTTCCACCTATCCATGACAGTAGGTGCCCCAGTCTACAGCCGCTGGTTTGGCAGTGTCGTCTGAATCAACCCCGCCTAAAATAAACAAAATTTGTTGTATAGAAAGAGGATTTCACTGAGACAGAAGTGAGTTGTGAAATCCAAGCAGACCTTGCTGACATTTTCATAAACTTTTCGATAGCAATGCAGAAGAGAGGAGTATCGATTTCTTGGTAATCTATTTCTAACTTAGCAGCTGAGCACCCACAACTCCCATTAAGGTAAATGAAATTTTGGGCTGGTTGCTCCTCTCAGGATCTGGCCCATTGATTATAATCTTTAATGCTTGATTCTGGGTAGAACTGGTAACAAAAATGCCCTTGTGTGTTAACACTAAGATGTATCTTCTCAGACAGAATGCCAAGGTTCCTCAAATTTATCAATACATTCCACAGCAAGTAATTTTTTCCAAGTTATTGGATTGATTTAACTAGAGTACACATATGAATATATGGACGGACATAGTACATAAATATGAAAACATTATGCCAGAATCCTGACTGCCTTCAATGTGAGGTAAAGAAGTACCAGATACCATCTTCCATTACCTGTGCATCACAGGGCAGGATTTGATCCTATATCTTCAACACAGTGGCCATCTTCATCAGTCATTATAGTATAAGATGAATGAGAAGGCTTGTACAGCCAACATAAATGGCTACACAAATTAAAGCCCCTGATCCTGCACTTCTATAAACCAAGGTCTGCTGTACGAGTGCAAGAGAGTAAGCTATTAATGTGACTAGATACCAGTGCTACTCCCCAGCCTCATGTACTGTTGTAAAGCAAGAGTAATACTTGTCTTGTTTGATGGTCACTTTGTGCCTTAGTAGGGAGCCCAGAAAGGTATAAGACAACCCAGCTATGGCCACCCCCAGTTTTCTCCCAAATCCTACACCCTTTGAGCAGGAGACCATAAGATTAGAGTGCACATAGGGTGGAGAGAGAATAAATGTAGGAGTCATTTCATTGACTTCATGGGTTTGGATGTCTTAGTATGCAGTCTATACATTTCCACACCTGCCATGCCTCTATGTGCTTTAGTGAAGGTGTTTGCAGCATTCTCTCACCCTGTTCTGCAGTGCCACCTCAGCACCACGTGATTTAGGAAGTCACCAAAGAATACAAACGTCTGGAAATGTATCAAGAGGTGTCAGTGTTTTAAAGGCTTACCGCAAGCTTCTTTGATAGCTCCCACGGCTAAACGACTGGTCTTTCGTAAGGTTTGGTGTAACAAGCAAGTCATTTTCTGCAATTGTAAAGTATAATGTTAGAAGCTCCTTAGTTAGTATTAAAATTGAAGTAAACCAATTGTTTATTTGCAAAACAAAAAATATCTCCAATTCATAGCTGGAATATTTTGTAGACTACGTTAACAAAAGGAATGCAATTCATCTTTGCCACTATGTCTTAGAATACTACACATTTTATATTACTGGTAATTTATATTTGACATACTAAAGTTAGGTAAATTTAATATGAACCCCATGACAATCATATTTTGAAACTGTGGGTGTGGCTAGTATGGGTGTTTCAACATTTTGGTACTACAAGTTGTTAAGTGGCAGGAAATGCTTTCATCCTCAAAGATGATCACAGTCTATTGTTTCACAGCAGTATAACTGATCATTATATTAGCTTTTTACTTCTGCCTCGGATCAGTAGTAAAACAAATAGGGTGGCCTTGGCATATTCCATAATTTGTCTGTTTTTCTAATACAACATCGCCAAACTATCAATAGTAAAAGAGATATAAAATGCCAGGGTATTGCAGGTCAAAAATGGTATATGCTGACAGATCTGTATGAGGAAGATTGCTCAGCACACATGTGCAAAAAACACATTTTGACCAGTGCTATCGGTATATCACTTTTATGGACACTAAAATTCAGCTTTGAGAAAAACCAAAGGAGAACAATCAACTAACACTAACAAAGGAATCTATAGATGCTCTGTGTCCTGTGGGATTTAACTTAATTTCATAAAAACAGAATAAAACACTTGCTTTCCACTGCTGTTTCAGTAAGTGCCTTGTCTCCTTGGCTTTGCAAGGTCACCAGTGTAAAATAAACCCCTTTCCTTTCCAGTAGCTCCTCATGTGTTCCTCTCTCAACCGCCCTTCCATGCTCAAACCCAATGATGACATCAGCGGCTTTGACTGTGGACAGACGATGAGCTATTGAGATTGCAGTGCGCCCAAGGCGCGCCTGAGAGAGAGAGGAGGAACAACATTATTGTTAGGACAGCAACCTGATATCCTGAGAGATGCTGAGCTGAGCACCTGGAGCATGATCCATAAGTAAAAAACTGACTTAAATGGGCTTTAGATCAAGCCCCTGCTGAGCACCAATCTCTCCCACTGACCTCAGCATCTCTCAGGACCTGGCCCTTGGACTGTAAGTTCTTCTGACTATATTGTAGAGCACCACATACATTTGCAGTGCTATATAAATAATTATCAAAGATACTACATCTAAGGGTAATGAATGCTCATTTGAATGGTAATTAAAAGGTTTAAGGCTTTTAATATAAAACTAAGCTGGAGTTGAGGTGCATATGGAAACTGATAAGAAATCTCTGATTTCAAGAATGATCATGCAATCAATGCAAAGGGATCACTTACCAAGGTAACTCATGCTCTGTGAATTTATTGCCTTCTCAGAACCACTCTGTAGGAAACATGTGCCTAGCACGTAGCCGATCTATTTGGGTGTGTAAAGGACCCACATCACCATAGTATCTGTGCACCACAGAACTTTTTTAAGCAGTAGTTGACAGGTGTCACACACAGCTCCCTGGACCTTTATATTCTCACACAACTGTTTGCTACAAGTTAAAACAAGTCCAAGTCTAGGTAACCTCACTTGGCAGAAATCATCTATGCAGTGAGGGCCTGAGTGACTGATCACACTGATCCACCCGTTTCTGACTCAGATTATTGGCAGTAGTATATTTGGCATTTGACAGATGCTCTGCAGACACGGTTACCTTGCTCTGAATGCACCATTCCCACAGACACATTGTTTCCTGACCTAATAAAGGGGACAGAGAACATTTGTCTGTTCAGATAATCCATTGCGACCATGTTGTTTGTGAGAAGAAATGCCATCTGGTCTGTGAAAGAAATCCCTAAGTGTATGTGACGTTTCCTGAGACCGCTATAGGCCATGAACCACTGAGGATATTCAGGGACCCCTTCAGCACAGCAGACCTTGGACTTGAAGCAACCAAGTCTGAAAATGTTGGTCTCTGTTTACAAAAATATATCACAGTTTGTTCATGGTAAAATGGTTTTTATATTCACAATGAAAAGCAAAACTACTTAAAATCTGAGTTATTTCACTTTGCTACAAACGTTAAGTTAGAGCCATTTTGCCAAAATTTTTATCACATTGCATGAATTTTTCATTCATAAATGGACCCCCCAAGATCAAGCTGATTTCTGAAGAAAAAAATAGGATCATTTCTGAGCAAAAGGTGCTTTTTACATATAAGCTCAAAATAAGAATGTTCACATTTTGATTCCAAAATAGTCATCAGTTGAAATCCGTAGAAAAGCTACATTATGGACTTTCATATTGCTAGACTGTGCATAATGACTAACATCTCTCATTTATATAAAATCATTCTTATTGTGTAGAATTTCAAATGCCCACTTTGGAACTTTAATGTAAAGAATTAATAGAACTTTTATCGACAGCTCTACAGATTTTTTTTAATGTTTCAGCTAGATTGAAAATGTTAACAGCAATTCTCTGTCACTGCTGAGATTCTTAAAAAAAGGTCAAACAATAATTTATAACAGTACAAAAGTATCTTCCACACAATGCTTTGAAAATGTATTTCTGTCCCGTTAATACTGACTACTGATATAACATAGCAAACCTTATGAAGTGCTTCTTGGACAATAGCTTCACTTTCATTGTCCAATGCTGATGTGGCCATATCTAGTAGCAGGATTTTAGGGTTTCGGACAAGGGCTCGAGCAATAGCTATCCTTTGTTTCTGACCTCCACTCATCTGGCCTCCACCCTCTCCAACAAGGGTGTCAAATTGCTGGGTAGAAGAGAAAAAATTGAATAAATAACAAAGAATTCTATTCTGTTCCCATTGACATCAATAGTAAAAATCTCTCATAGATTTCCATGGGACCAGGCCCAAAATGAAGAACAACCTTTGGAAGACAAGTACAATGTGTTAGGGTTCTAGATCCTTCATAGAGCTGTAGAGCAGACTCCTCCATGTTTAACAAACCCTTTCTTCCCAAACTGGGCTTCTCATGTGTGCCAGTCCCAAACCAAACTTATAGACTTAAATAAAACTTAAGGTTCATTTTGACCCAGTATAATTCAATCAGCAAGAACTGCACCATGGATGAAAATTACTCATTTCTCCCTCCCCGCTGGGCAGCTCACCAGCTAACATTCCAGCAGTTTGGGCTTGTCTGTAGATGGAAGGGACTCATGTGGCCTTAGATGACTGATCACTGTAGTGTAGCAATGTCAGGCACACGGGCACTGTTTAGTCCAGGTCAGGATTTAGGTGACTGCACAGCTTGTGTGAAGTTAGTTTGGGAGCTAGAGAGCCAGATATGGCCTTGTCTATGTCCTATAGCCCCAGCATAGAATCTCCATATATTCACTTATAACCAAATTCTGCCTTTTCTCTACTGCCAAGGACACTGCAAGCTATGTGTGTATTACAGTCCTTCTAACGTGGCCTATCTACTTCACCTGGGAACCTACGAAAGCGGCTTGGGATGATAAAATGTATGCCTCTGGGCAAATTAATTGTATTTTAATCCTGGCCATAAGGAATCTATTTTAACCCTGTCCAGGAATCTGTTTAGGCCAGTCAGATACTTAAATAATATCCCCAGAAACTAAAATGCCAATTAATATGAGCTGGGGGCACAGAGGTTACTGGGCCTGACAAACCAACATCTATAGGAGGTTGGAGTTCAGTGGGAGGGGAACCTCCATATGACAGATGGTATTAATATACGGGGGTGGGGAGCTGGAAGTTTCTTCATAGACTATTCAAAAACACATTTAGGTGAGTGGGAGGACTGGATCCTAACTAGCTTTTTGCCTGGGCAGAAACAGACCTGGGAAGTGTGAAAATCTGCCTTTCCTCTCTTTGATGTATTGATTATTACCAGATAGTTCTAGATTTCCCCTGGTACTGAATGTTCTGTGTATGTTTCTTGGGAAGTGTATTCATCTTTGCTCCCAAATGTGGTCAAATACATGTAGCACACTTTATTTAGTCACTTCAAAGGAATGTCTGTAACTCTATTGTTCTCATTCATTCTATGCTTTCTCCCCATCCATTTGAGTACCCAACAGGTTGCACATAGAATCACAGAACTATAGGGCTGGAAGGGCTCTCAAAAGGTCATCTAGTCTAGCCCCCGTTTTCCCCGATGAGGCAAGACCAACTATACCTAGACCATCCCTTACAGGTGTTTGCCTTATCTGTTCTTTAAAATCTCCAGTTATGGGGATTTCACAACCTTCCCTGGAAGCCTGTTCAAGAGCTTAACTATCCTTATAGTTAGAAAGTTTTACTACTATCTAACCTAAATCTCCCTTGCTGCAGATTAAGCCCATCACTTTTTGTACTACCTTCAGTGGACATAGGGTGACCAGACAGCAAGTGTGAAAAATCGGGACAGAGGGTGGGGGGTAATAGAAGCCTATATAAAAAAAAGCCCCAAATATCAGGACAGTCCCTATAAAATCGGGACATCTGGTCACCCTAAGTGGACATGGAGAACAATTGATCAGTGTCCTTTTCATAACAGCCCTTAACATATTTGCAGACTTGCTATCAGGTCCCTCCTCACAGGGCTGGTGCAACCATTTAGGCAACCTAGGCGGTCGCCTAGGGCACTAGGATTTGGGGGGCGCCATTTTCTTCGGCAGCGACCGTGGCGG